TATGTCTCTGAAACTCAAGGGGGCAGTACTACCTTGTCCTAGAGCAGTGGTTCTCGACCTTCCTCATGCCATGACCCTTTAATACAGCTCATGTTGTAGTGACCCCCCAACCACAAAATCATTTTCTTTTCTTTTTTTCCCCCATAAAATAATTTTCATTGCTACTTCATCACTATAATTTTGCTAGTGTTATGAACCGGGTGACCCCTGAGAAAGGGTCGTTTGACTCCCAAAGGGGTCGCGACCCACAGGTTGAGAACCAGGGGGAAAAGCTATAGCTGCAGACTGGCACAGGGCCAGTTCTCCCCTACCCTACAGTGAGTCAGGACAGAGGCCACGGCAATGAGGTTGCTGGTTTTATATCCACATTCGTTCACAGCAAACCCAAGTGACAGAGCACTGCCCCACCACTGTCACTATCAGAGAAACAGCCCTCCAGGCCTTCCCCCCACCCCCCCACCACCGGGTGCTGGGTGGGTGTGAACCTGACCAGACCACTGCCCACCTAGGGCTCTCCCACTCTGGAAGGAGGTTACCCTGTTGGTCGGCTTTCCAGGTGACCAGAGGTGGAGCTGCAGTGAGGAGAGGGAAAGCACCCCAGCCAACAGCTCAACAGTGGGCGGAGAAAGAATAGGACCCTGGGCAGGTGACCCTGGAAAAGGCACCGCCTTTGAGGGGGCCCCAACTCAGAGCCCATGGGGTAAGTGCAGACACCCCATAGGCTGTGACCCTCCGGAGCAGGCAGCCCAGGGACACGCTCTAGGCGTGTGGGTCTCTCCGGGGCTAGAGATGGGAAGGGCTACCCAGGCACCTTCGAGGAGTTCCCCTGGGGTGCGGGTGGGGGTACTCCTGGGGCAGCCAGCCCACCCTCCCTCCGCAGGCTGAGCCCAGCGTTACCGGAGTCCTCGGGCTCGCTGGCAGCGAGGGCTGGGGCGCTCGCTGAGGTCCTGCGGCTCGGCCGACACGCCCCTGGGGTCGCCTTCTGGAGGACATCCAGCCACAGCGGGAGGGGCCAGGGACCTGGGGAGGGACAGGCTGGGAAGAGCTGCCGGGCAGGGGTCCAGCTCCCTCCACACGCCAGCTGGTCGTCCTCGCCCTGCCGGGCCGGGCC